AGAATGGGGCTCGTTTCTTGCAAAACCCACACTTACCAAACAGATGCGTTTGGAATGTCCAAGACAAGAGTTTCATTTCACATAAGGAGCTTTACACCGCTGGATTTAAGATCCATGACTCCCTGGTGCGGAGAGGGGAGATGGGAGGGAGGCGGAGGAATGCCACCCCCCCACCCCCACACCAGGGAAGGCCTCCCTGAGCTGCTGGAGAGAAACCCGGAGCTTTGAGGCAGTGAAGACGTTAGCTACAGGTCTTCATCCACGCTGGTGTTCCTGGAGCCCAGGGCACATGAGGGGCCCCCAGTTGGTTCTGTGGCTTCAGGGGAGGCTGCCTCATGGGCAGCCCAGGGACGAGGATGCTGGGAAGAGACAGGTGAAGTGGTGAGAGGTGCTGGCGCGCACAGCTGCTCTGGCCGGCCCTGGGAACCCCTGCTCGGTCCCTTCCCTCCCTGATGCAAGCAGCAGGGAGAATGCATTATTTTTTCATTAAAAATTCATTTTGGAACAGATAGTCTTCAGAGATGTAATTAGCCACATTATTTCTCTCCATTAGCAGTCCCTGGAGTTTGCTGGAATTTCTTGTCCTTTTCCCTCCCCATTCCACTCTTTCCATGGCCTTTATAAGCTAGGTTGTAGCACTTCCGCCTCCCTCCCCCGACCATCACCCCCGTTCTGGTACTGGACCGAATACCCAAGTCCAGAATCTGGAGAAGGAGCGATGGCAGACTCCCTCCTCCTCACTGGGCTACAGGATCACAGTCCCCTGAGCCAGCAAGGGCTTCACAGATGCCCACTCCTGCCAATGTGACACAGAGACAGCCTGGCTAGTGGTAAAGCTGGGTGGAGGTAGGGGGTTCCTGGCTCCCCCAATTACTCACTGGGTGATCCCAAGCAAGTAACTTAACTTTTCTGGGCTTCTTTCTGGGCGGCTTCCTCCGCCCGCACAGGATGGTCCAGGTCAGCACTGCTGGTTGTAAAGCACTTCACCTGAGGTAGATAGCAAATGCCTGTGGTCTGGATGTCTGAGGACAACAGAGGACTTCTGGGGGCCAAATGATCAGTAGACATGACAGCATAAAAGATCCAGCCATGGCTTGGGGAGAGTCAGAGCTAAGTGCTTGCTGGTGCTCGGGGGAGACAGGCTGGAGGTCAGGGGTCAGGGAGACCCATGATGAGGAACCCTTAAGGGGCAAGGCCCTTTCAGAGCAGGAAGGAGTTCATGGGGACTCAGGCTCAGCTGCCCAGGGCTGAGTGCCTCTCTTTTGCCGATTCTGGTGGATTCTAAGCCCAGCCATTGCTCCTGTGGGTTATTTCTGGAGTGCTTGACGACTGGATGGGAGGTGATAGAGGTATCATCTTCAACTGACTGGGGGGAAGTGTGGGCTCCCCAAGACCTTGAAAATGACCCAAAGTGCAGCGAATAACCCCTCCGGTGGCACTCCAACTGGCTCAGCGGACTTCAGCGAGGCTCGCTATTTCTCTGGGGAATTCCAACTGCCACAGCGCTCAGAAGACAGCCATCTGCATCCCCACCTCCCCGTTCTCTGCTTCCCTCACATTAGTGACACATGACGTGCAGCTGTCTCCAGCTTTGTCAGAAATACCGTGCTCCATGGGGGCAAGGGCAGGAAACCTGCTGTGGGAAATCTAAACTTATCCTGGTTCCTCACAATGAGGGCCAAAGAGAAAAATACAGCTTTAGCATAAAAGATCATTGGCACTTTGCAGTGAGATAAAATGCGTGTGATTTATACCAAGAACTAGCATGGCCCAGACGTAGACAGTCATGGGGAGATGTCCTTTGAAGGGGCTGGCAGATCACTGTTTCGGGGACACAGTCACATCGAATTGCATAGAGTTATGTTGTGTTGCATTGACATAAGGAGTTCGAGGGAACTTAATTTCTAATACTGGCCTCAGCCCGCTTGGATAGTAATCCTGGTCGTTAGGTTCCCAGGGAAATGCAGAGAAGCAGAAACTGTCTGGCTCACGGGATCTTTGAACTTTCACACGGATGTTACAACAAGTCTCACTGAAGCAGGCAGCCCCTTGACTCACGTCTAGTTCATAGTGATTTTCATGGACACGTCTGGGCATCAATAACAAAAATAGGGATGCTGAGGTTAATAATACATAGCATGCACTGGGAGGCCCCGAGCTCCAGGCCCAGGCCAGGCTTTTTATGCACGTGGCTTCACTTACCCTTCAGTTCTGTGAGGTAGTATCACAGCTCTCCCTTCCCCTGACCCCCCAGAGAAGGGCAAGAGATAGTGTCAAGCGAAACCACCTTTTGGGGAGGAGGTGCACTGCATGGAGGAGGCCGAGTAGCACAGCGATGCCCGCCACCAGGCGCAGCATCCCGAGATGCGGAGCCACCCGATGGTTTGCAGGTGTCAGCATCACCAGGAAAGACAGTACTCACACAGGACCCGGAGGGAACAAGGCTGTGTTCACACAAAGAGACAGATCGGGATCAACTTCAGCAGTGGGCATTAGTCTGCTGTGGCCAATGGGTCTCATCCCCCAGCCAACACAGGGCCATGATCTGCACGCACCCCTCTCATGCTGCAGACAAAGGACCCCACTCTCTCCCTGCTGGGAAGAGATTCAGCAGCGGGATTGGCCAGGTGCCACCTGATGCACACACTTAAGCAGAACAAAGGAGCGCACATTGAATCTGGAACAGGGACAGACATTCCCACAGGAGGCGATAAATCCAGCACAGGCCGTGAGGACTCCCTGTCTCTTGGTAAGGAAGTGTCCCAGGCCCAGGCCCACTCCTGAGTAGCCAAGCAGAAGTGGAAAGACTCCATGCCTTTTCTGGATAGGCGGGACCAAGTTCAAACGGCTGGATGGGAGGCATGGTCGGGATTTGAACCTGGGGTTTTCTGGCACCAAAGCCCATGAGCTTTCTCACTGCGAGAGCCCTGCACTTCTGAGGATGTGCTGGTCTTCCCCAGGTACCTTCCAAGCCTCCCGGCCACCCTCCTGCTTCACCACCACTCCCTTCCACCAAGGGACAACCCAGAGTCTCCCAAGAAAAGATCGGCTGGGAGGGTTGCTCCCTCCCAGGACTTCTTTAATGCAAATTCTAGATCTCTCCAACCTTTGCCCATACTCCTATACCAAGAATAATATTTGAAAAGCTGGGATTCTTGTGCCCTGAAGAACCCCCATGTACAGAAATTTAAAGCAGAAAAACTGGCAGCTATCAAGGAGGGGGGAAATGCATAAAAGAAAAGTGATGGGGGGGAATGTAAAGAATTTGAGGAATTATGTAAATAAATGGACGTGGTAAGGACCATTCAGCCCTGAAGAAATGAGATTGACATATGTAAATCCCTTGTAAGTTTCAGCAAAAAGGAATAAAAGGGATCAAAAACCCTTCTTGCTTCCGTGTCCTGCAATTTCATTTGAATATTAAGCCTCCATGTTGTGCTCTGAGGCTTTTGTAGTATGACCAAACCGTACCAGCTAATTTGGGCCAGGGTTATTATCTACAATTTACAGACAAGGAGCCAGAGGTGAAAGGAAGTTCAGTAGATGATCTATGGCCATCGTGTTCATTTTAGAAGCCACGTCGGATTTAGCACACAGTTTTTCCAACTCCCTGCCTGATCCTGAACTTCTTAGGGAAAAATTGCAGTTAATTCTCAGTTGTCGACATCGTCAATGTGGAGGAACAGAGGCATAGATAATCCCAAATGGTGAGTAATGCCCATGCCATGCCTCCTGGTCTGGACGTTTGCTTTGGAAGCTTCTTGCAGACCTCAGAATGGGGGCGCCCTGCTGTGGGAGGCTGCCCCATTCTCATTCCACCGCTTTCTACTCAAAGCCACCCACCTCCTGCTCCATGAAGACCTAGGGGCAGCAGATTAAGGGGACGAAGCTGTAATGCTTTCCTAGGCTGGCATGGAGTAGCAGAGGGAGGCAGAGAATAAGGTGTTTTGATTTAAAAGGACCCCCGCAGTGCCGAAAGCTAGCAGAACAGTAACAGTAAATGAGACAATGAATTGTGTCCACTGAAGACTTCCTATGGATGTTGATTCATTATGTTAATAAGATGTGAGAGCTGAAGGTTGACTGTATTCTGATTTCATGGCTGGGGGACCCATGGCTCAGAGGGGGGAACATCCAAATTTAAGGTCTGAGTCCAAATTCCATCTCCAAGCTCCTGATTCCGACCTGGGTAGAAATGCAAGCAATGCTTAAGGTAGAGAACCAGTGAGGCCGGAGCCAAGAGGAGCCAACTTGTCAGATTCATTCAACAAATATTGAGAACCTGCCAAGTGCCAGGCTGCAGGAATTGGTACTGGGAGGAAAGCACAAAGGAATCAGACATTGACCAAGCCTGAGGAACCCAGGGTAGGAGGGGAGACAAGGTACATACAGAAATCTCTGTAATACCTTCAGAGAGGACAGTGAGATGAGATCTAAGAGAGCTTCGTTTATTCTTCCATTCAATTAAGTCATTCATTAGTCATGCGGGCACTGTCTTAAGTGCTCTGTATATAAAGATAAATAAGACTGGTCTCTAACCCCAGAAGATACCAATCAAATATACATACTGACACTGAATCACCCAGGGAGTTTTTCAAAATACAGTCCCCCAGATCCCCAACCCAGACAACTGATTCTGGATCTCTGGAATTGATACCCAAGAAACCTGAAGCTCAGAATCTAGGTGTTATCTGGGTTTGGGTACTGATCTGTGGGATAACAAGGGGAGGGAGCCCGGAGGAGGGCTAGCCAGAGATAGGGAGGAGGGCTTCCTGGCCCACCTCTCCTAGGAAGCCTCCCCGGACCTGCCCAGCACACTGATCTGCATGTTCTCAGCCCTAACCTCCACTGTACATCCTGTATGTCCTGTGATTTTCTGGCTGACTGATATCTTTGGTTGGTTCCTGGGTGTGTGTTACCTCTGAAGCTGAGTGTCCCTATGTTCCAAGGTCATTGTGATGAGTGTTCCAGGGGCCTTGTGACACATGCTGCCTGGCTCTGTTCAGCTGTGGGAGGTCAAGGAGAGGCCCAGTTTCTCCTGGGAATGAATTCATCCCCCAAAAGGAAGATCACTTTCCCCTGCTAATTAAGCATCATTTAGGGCTCCAAGTGAGCCCTGGTCAGAAGCTGCTTTGAAGATATCCTGCAGGGGCCATGACCACCCTCTCTCCTGAAAACAGCCTCTCTGCCAGGTGGTCAGCCTCCTTCATCCTGGTGCGTGTTCTTCATCAGCTCCAAGTCCCTCCCTCCCCAACTTCTGGTTTGCATTAGGGCCACTTTCCTCAGTGGGGTGGGAAGGACTAGAACCCTGAGCTGGCCTATAAGGTTGAGCAGGGTAAGTTGTACCTTGATCTCACATCAGGACTGAAAAGACACAGGTCCCCTTGCCCCCTTCACCCTTCTTTCTAAGCCAGTTACCTTTCCCTATATGTGACATTCTAACTTTAATGACTTTTAGGTTTGCAAGTTCAATCTCGATAAATTTTCCTTGGTGTTTTTGCCAACAATTTTGGTATGCTGCCACCAGGTGGCAGTAATGCCTTTGTTAGTAGGTGGTTTCAAGCCCACTTACTAAGATACATCTAGTCATTAAAAGTCGGCCTCAGTCATAAAAGTTTTCCACATGGTATATTTTTCAAAATCATCATAACTAATTATAATGACCTTAACCAATCTCAAGTTTCATTAATCATATTGATTAAGGAATGATGTTATAGCTTTATTGCAAATTATCATCAAGTCTTGATTTGGATTTTCTTTATATCTTTATTCATTTTTCTGAACTTATAGAGTGATAATAATAAAATAACAAACTGTCACATAGCCTTTAGTATGTACCACGACTGTTCTAAATGCTTTATTTATAGTAATTTATTCTCACCATGACCCTATATGAGGTGGATGATGCTATTATCTTCATTTTATGAGAAAGTTGGGGCACAGAGACAAAGCAACTTGCCTCAAGTCACACAGCTGGTAAGTGGCAGAGCTGTGGTATTTAGACCCAGACTGCGGAGTCCAGCTTCCAAATCAGTGATTCTCAAAGTGTGGTGCCCAAAACTGCCTCATCAGCATCAACTGAGAACTTGTAATGCAGACTCTTGATCCCCAGGTGCTCTGAACCAGAAACTCTCAGGGTGGGGTCCAGTGATCTGTGTTTTAACAAGTGCTCCAAGTGAGTCTGATACACAGCTAACTTTGAGAACCGCTGTTTTAAGCCATTCATTTAATCACTATGCTATACTGATGATACACCCCCATACCTGGGTTGATAATAATCACCCAGGTAACTTCCAAGTTGCACATATGCCTCCTCCACCCCAATTTTAATACTTCTTCCCTCCTTGGGCTAGCTTGCTCTTCCCTGGGTGAGCCACTCTTATTTGGAAGTAAGTATATCTTGTTCCTCAAGGGAACTGGAGTAGAAGAGGTTGAGATCAATAAGCAGCCAGTGACCCTTCCCAGGCCTACTGGGGGCTCTGTTGCTATGAGTATTCAGAGCAACACAGCAACAGAAACCCTCCTGGAAAACTTGCCTTATCCTCCAGTAGCTTTCCTATTTTACTAAAAATATTAGATGGGGCGCCTGGGTGGCTCAGTCGGTTAAGCGTCTGCCTTTGGCTCAGTTCATGATCCCAGGGCCCTACGATCAAGCCGAGTCAGGCTCCCTGCTCCGTGGGGAGTCTGCTTCTCCCTCTCCCTCTGTGTGCTCTCTCTTCCTCAAATAAATAAATAAATCTTTAAAAAATAAAAAAATTTAAAGTATTAGAGAAAAATCTTAACCCAGTGATGCAAAATAGAAGAGGGTAGCAGGAAGATGTTGGAGAAACTGAACCACTGAGGCCTCCTACTTCTGGCCCCCCACTCTAGAGGGAACATGGCCATGGTGTCTCTAGGTTTGCTAGTGGAGAGCTTTAACCTGTTTAAGCACACCATAAAGGTGGGAGATTTTCACAACTGCTCTACCTAGCAGTACTCTTCCTAAGAGACTAGGAAAAAAGCTACTGCAGAGCTGAAGGGTATCCAGCACCTCGTGGACCATATATCACCCAAGCCTGAATCACCAGGTCATTGTACCCAGATGGTGGTACAGCATGTTAATAGGTTAGTGGAGCAAGGAATGGGGGATTATGGGAGAATGAAGGCGGATTTGAGAGGTTCATTGAGTTGACAATCTCTCTTACTTCAAAGAACCCCAGATACAAATTCTATGATTTCTGGCATAGACAGGCAGTGTGAATGTACTGGAGAAGAGAGGGAGAGGACTTCTGTGTGGAAATATTCCCAGGTCAACAGGCTTCTTGTGCTTGTCCTTGGCTTGTCAACAAATGTCTTAGATGTTCTTGTGGTTGGCCTGTAGTTTGCTTAGGTTTGCCCATAGAAGTGGCGGAAATAGAGAAATTGAGTTTCCTGAAAGGGGAAGTCAGTGACTTTTTGTAAGTGAATTCAGCTATGGCAAAGTTAGGCAGATGGCCAATTGTTGCAAAGGTTAAATGATAAATATAAAGTGCTTAGGACAGTGCCTGGCACATCATCAATGCTTTGTAAATGTTTACAGCCAATCAGAGAATTTACTGCATTTGTTTTCATAAATGATTTATTTGGGTTTCTATCATTTTTTATGCTTTATGCTCTTATTAATTCCTTGTTGTTTCGTGTATTATTTGCTTTTATCTTTAAAAGTGAATTAGATGGAAACTGCCCTGTTCCTATAAATCTCTAATTTTTAAAGTTAAAAAAAATGTTTTCTTCTGACTCCATCCTTCAACCTAATAAAAAAATGTCTGTAGTTAAAAATCTTCCCACAAAAAACACTCCAGGCCTTGATGGCTTCACTGGTGAGCTATACTAAATATTGAAAAAAGAAGTGATACTGCTTCAATACAAACTATTCCAAAAAATTTTGAAGTGGGAATACATCCATGCTCATTCTCTGAAGCCAACATTATCCTGATACCAAAATCAAAGACATTACAAGAAAAGAAAATCATAGACCAATATTTCACGTGAACACCGATGCAAAGATCTTAAATAAAATTTAGCATATAGTCTCCAATAATATATATAATATATAATATATATATATAATAACATATCACCAGTGGGGTTTATCCAAGAAATGCAAGGCTGATTTAACATTCAAAATCATACAATATAATTTACCATATTAACAAACTAAGAAATGAAAAACTGTATGATCATTTCAACAGATTAAGAGTATCATTTGAAAAAATCCAGTAGCCATTCTTGATAAAAACTCTCAGCAAACTAGGAATGGAAGAGAGCTTCCTCAACCTCATAAAGGGCAGCTACAAAAAGCCTGCAGTTAACATCATACTGAGTCATGAATGTCTGAATGCTTTTCCTCTAAGATTGGGAACATAGCCAAGATAGTTCACCATTGCACTGGAGGTTCGAGCCAGTTCATTAATAAATAAATAAGTTTTTACAATAACATCCCCCCCAAATATTTGGGGATAAATCTGACAAAATATATGAATATCCTACATACCTACAAAACAATGCTGAGAGAAATCAAAGACCTAAATAGATGGAGAAATATAGAGTATGTTAGTCTTTGTGTGCCATATATCTATTTTAAAGATATTTATGTATTTATTTATTTATTTATTTATTTATTTGAGAGAGAGAGTGAGTGAGAGAGCACAAGCGGAGGGAGGGGCAGAGGAAGAGGGAAAAGCAGGCTCCCCGCTGAACAGGGAGCCCGATGCAGGGCTTGATCCCAGGACTCCAGGATCATAACCTGAGCTGAGGGCAGACGCTTAACAGACTGAGCCCCCAGGCGCCCCTTTACTCTGTTATTTTAGCATGAAATCAGCCATAAACAATACATGAATGAATGGGCATGGCTGTGTGCCAATAAAACTTCATTTAACAACAACAACAAAAAAAAACAGATTGCAGGCCAGATTTGGTCCATGGGTTGTAGTTTGCTGATTGTTGGCCTCTATAATAAATCCCCATGGAATCCACAAAAGCTACTAGGATTAATAAGTGAGATTAACAAAGTGACAGGACACAAGATCAATATATAAAAACCCATTGTATTTCTATATACAAGCAATGAACAATTGGAAGTTGGAAGTTTTAAAACAACACCTTTTACAATATCATCTCCCCCAACCCAAAATATTTAGGGATAAATCTGATAAACTATAGAATAGCCTACATACCTACAAAACAATGCTGAGAGAAATTAAAGAAGACCTAAATAGATGGAGAAATATACCATGTTCATGGGACAGAAAGCTCAATATTATCAATTCTCCCCAAATTGACCTATAAATTCAGCACCGTCCCCATCAAAATCACAGCTGTCTTTACTGTGGAAATTGATAAATTGACTAAGATTTCTATGGAAATGCATTGCCAAAGTTCATGATTAAGGACCCCAAGACACAGCCCAGCGTTGCCTATTTTCTCCTACTTCCTGTCACAGTGCATGCCGAGTGTTGCAGTCTGAATATAGGTTGGGAGAACAGGATGGCAGTCTGAGGGTAGGAAGCCGGGCTCTGTTCAGACGACAGTGTCTATGCAACTGGGGCATGGCATCAGGACAGACCCCGCTTCCCAAGGTTAGGTCAACAATGAGGGTGGAGATTTTGGGTTTTTTTTTTTTTTTTTTTTGGGCCCCTGTGTCCTATTTCGGTTCAGAAGATAGAGCATGTATGAGTTACTAAGGGGCTCAATCCATCCCTATCAAATGTGGGGTTAGTGGAAATTATCCTAAATCTGGGCCCGTGGGTTCTTATTTTTTTATTTCCAGTGCTAAAGCAATTTCTAATAGCTTGCCTCTCGTGATCAGTGGACCAGCAGCATCAGCGATCTCCTGGGAGCTTGTTAGAAATGCGTCATCTTGGGCCCCACCCCAGACCCTCTGAGTCAGAATCTGCATTGTACAAAGATTCTCAGGTGACTCATATGCAAAGTCAATTTGAGTCACACATGTGCATATTCAGGTGTATATCAATGGGGAGTTGGGAGTGTGTATATCAGACATGTCTAGTCACCTGCCAACCTCTGTCCATCAGCACATCCTCATGCTTGCAATATGGCATTTCAAGATATGCTTCTCTCTAATAAAGGCTTCCTCTAGGAAGCTTCCCCCTTCTGACAGGAGCTCTTACCTCTGGTTATTGTCTTATGAGCATTTTTAATTAGTTTGCATGCAGTGCACTCACCTCCCCCCATCAAACACACACACACACACACACACACACACACACACACACACACACACACACCTCTCTTAATGTAAACCGGAAACCATTTCTTATGACGAACTGTTTTACTCTTCCAGGAAAGGCAAAAGGTAGCTCATCGGAGTGTTTAGTGCTTATTTTATATTTTTCCATTATCAAAGCAGTAGACATTATTACAGAAAAGTTTGAAAACACAAGAAAAAGGAAAAGATTATGTAGGACCCATGCTTTTGGTGGGGTTTTTGGTGGGGATTTTTTTTTTGTTTTTTTTCTAACAGAATTTTTATAGTGGTTAATTCACTACACATTAGAGTATGTAAGGTGTAGTTTTCATAATATGGAACAGGTATATGAGGAGTATAGTGCATAGAGAGGATAGAGGCTAGATACTGAATGTATAATTTTGTATTCTGCTTTTTTCCATTAACATTTTCATTTTTCCAGGTTATTATTCATTCCCTGTAAGCATCATTTTTTATGCCTCACAATATTCCATTGAGCATATAAATTATAGTTTATTTAACTATTTCTTTATTGCATAATGTTTAGAGCACGTGCGGTTTTCATTTTGGTAAGTAATGCGCAATGAAAATTATTGTGCATTCAGCATTTTTCTATAACTTTGCAGTAATTTCTTCAGGATAAATTTCCAGAAGTGAGTCAGAAGCGGGGAACTTGATTCATATTGCAAACTCCAGAGTATAGCGTGGAAAAAAAAAATCACACTTAAAAGAAAAGCCAAAGGTTCCTAACAGAGGGCTGAAGTGATTGTCCTTGCCAGGTGAAGAGAAAACCACCCATTGACAAGACGGAATGGGATGGCTTCTTTGATGAGAATGGTCTGTTGGCCAAGTCACGAGACCTCATTTGTGTGAACATCCTGGAGCGGGTACGGTCCTCAAGGCCTCGCCCTGGCACTGGAGGGCATGGGTGGGCAAGGGGCAGGCATGGCATTTGGAGACACCCTCTTGGCAGGCATCTGGAGGTCCCATGACCTCTCACCTCTCATGCCCACCCCAGGGTCTGCACCCCTACGTGAGGACAGAAGCCTGGAAGTTCCTCACGGGCTACTACTCGTGGCAGAGCTCCCAGGATGAGCGACTCACGGTGGACAGCACGAGGAGGTAGAACATTCCAGATCCTGTCAGGGGAGAGTGGGTGGCAGTGCAGGTGGGAAGGAGTGCCCATCCCAGCCTGACAAGCTCAGTCTTCTTCCCCCAAATGGATTTCTTATTCTAAGAGACAAACTCCCCACGTGCTCCTGACCCAGGGCCCGAACCCAGGAGGTGCCAGCCCCTTCCCGCCCAGCTCCACTTAGCAGCGCACAGACTGCCTAGCCTGGGCTGGATCCCAGCAGGTCCCTCTTCCCCGCCGCCATCTCATCAGTTCCTTCCCTAGGGCCTACGCAGCCTATCTGAGGTGAAGACTCATGTACAAAGGGCCAGAAGAATCGTTCAGGGCAGTAGGGGAACTGAGGGCCAGCCTGGAAAGCTCGAGAGCCCAGACGGGAGCCTGTGTTAGCTCCCCGAAGCTGCTGTAACAGGCCCCACAAACAAGGGTTTTGCAACAGCAGAAATCTATTGTCTCCGTTCTGGAGGCCAGAAGCCCAACAGCAAGGCGCTGGCAGCGCCACGCTCCCTGAAGGCTCTAGGGAAGAGTCCTCCCCTGCCTCTGAGGTTCTGCTGGCTCCGGGGACCACTCCCATCTCTGCCTCTGTGGTTACATGGCCTGTTCCTCTTCCCTCTGTCTCTCTGTGTGTCTCTGTGTGTCCTTAGAAGGACACTTGTCATTGGATTTAGGGTCCACCTAGATGATCTAGATTGATCTCATCCAGAGATCCTTAACTTAATTACACCCGCAGAGGCCCTTTTCCAAGTAAGTTCACATTCACAGGATTCAGCGGTTAAGACACAGACGTATCTTTTGAAGGGTCGCCATTCAGCCTCCTACAGCACCTAAGCATGTTCTAATGACGGACACTAGACACTGTCTCATCCAATCCTTCCAATTCTTGGGCCAAGGTGCCAGGATTATCCTCATTCTACAGAAGAGGAAACTAAGGCTTAGAGAGGACTCGTGATGTCCCCAAGGCCTCACCCTCTTTGCAAACACCCAGTTATTAATTTGTGGAGCCAGGATTCAGGAGCAGCCGTGGGACCCCCAGGGCCAAAAGACCGATCCCACCTCCATGCTGCCCCCCAGGGGCACATTAGCACAGAACGTGGTTAGGGCTGGCGCCTGATGGAGATGAGGGGAAACATCACGCGCAGGTAGGGGGAGCAGCCTAGTGGAGAGAGCTGCTCAGACTTCCCTTGATTGGCCAGGAGAAGGCTGCCTCCTCCAGCCTCAGTTCTCTTTGCACAGGAAGAACTATGAGGCCTTATGCGAAATGTATAAAAAGATTCAGCCCCTTCTGGAAAACCTGCACCGGAACTTTATGGAGACTCGGAATACCATCAGTGAGCTAGTCGGGTGGGCAGGGCTTGGGCAGGGGGGAGTGCCTGAGGGCATGCCTGCTGGCTCCTCAGTCATATCCAGGGGCAGATGCCTGGGAGCTGCCTTGAATTCTGGAATTCTGCTGGCTAAATCCTGGTTAGTCCATCCCCCATCTCTCCTGGGGTCTCCTACATGCCTGGCGTCATATTCTCCTGAGTGCATGCTGTTCCTGCTGCTTTGTCTTCATCTCTCCCCTTTGGCCTTGAACTAGGCTGGATTTCAATTGGATGGGACCAGTGGAGTGGGGATGGTGTGGGGGGGGCATTCTTGGCAGAGGGTATGGCCTAGTCAAAGATTTGGGGGTGGGGACAAAGCCAGGCAGCTCAGGATGTGGTGCGGGGCAGAGTCTCATGAGTGGATGTCACAACCCCCTCCAGGGTGTCCTGGGTCCTGCCCTTTGGGGAATAAACTCATTCATGGCCCCTCTGCTGAGGTGATCTGGTGCTACCTACCTGTCTCTTGTCCCCAACCTAGCATATGACATTCAGAAACTCTACGACAAAGACCCCCTAGGCAACGTCATTATCGACAAGAAGAGACTGGAGAAAATCTTGCTCCTGAGTTATGTCTGCAATACCCAGGCAGGTGGGCCACAGGGCTGAGCCTCTCCTCAGCCCCCTCTTCTCAATTCCTTCCTGAAATCCCTTCCCCGCCCAAGCCCAGGCTCACCATTCCTCTCTGTCCCCCCACCCCCACCCCAGAGTACCAGCAGGGCTTCCATGAGATGGTGATGCTCTTCCAGCTGATGGCAGAACATGACCACGAGACTTTCTGGCTTTTCCAGTTCTTCCTGCAGAAAACGGTGAGGGTTGGACCTGAGCTCAGGGACCACCTCCCTGCCACTCCCCAGACACCCCCTGGAGGTGAGGCAGGCAATGGGAGCCCCAGCTCTTTCCTCCAGCCCTGAAACAGCCCCTCTGGGTCCCAGAGGAGCCTGGGCAGGCAGCACTCACCCTAGTGCGTTTATGGAGCATGGGTTGTATGTGTTGCAGGCATTGGAGTTGAGGAGGCGGCTGGAAGGATGCTCTGGGTCCAGCTCTCACCAAACCTCGAAAGAGTGTAACTGGCCAGTCCCAGGGGTGGCCCCCTTCCCCTCCCAAAACATGGCTTTGCTCCCACAGATCCTCTCCATGGCTCCCCATCACTTTCAGAATAAAATCCAATAACCTTGGCCTGGCATTCAAGGACTATCTTTGGCCGCCTCTCTCACTGCTCCCTTCACATGACCCGCACTTCAGGCCCACCAGGGGACTCGGTACTCCCCAGACACACCCCACAGTGATCAGGTTGAGGGCTTTTGAAGTTGCTTCTCTCTGGAACACCCTCCCTGGAAAGCCTTTCCTCATGGTCTGTGAGAGGCTGTCCAGAATTGTCTCCGTCCCTGCAACAATGTGCTCACTGCTCTTCCCCTGTCCCGCCTGGTTCTGACCCATGGTGTGTGTGTGTGAAAGCATAACTGGGCTCGCTGCATTGAGAGCCACGCCCGAGACATCTCTGGATCCCCACCCCCCCACACCCACACACGTAGGGGCATACACATATATAAACGAACACACCTACAAACACAGATCACAGAGACACAGACATGAGGTGAGTGTGCACACACACACACATAGACACCCAGGCTCATACAGACACGAGCCCAGTCTGGAGCCAGCCACACACACGGCCTCCAGAACTGAATTGCTGGTGATGCAGGCCAGCCCTCAAGCAGAGAAAGATTCAGTTGGTCTCCCACCCACCCATCTCTCTCAGGAGCACAGCTGTGTTATCAAGATCGGAGTAGGCAAGAACCTGGACATGCTCAACACCCTGATCAACTTCTTGGACCCCGTGTTTGCTGAGCACCTAAGTGAGTGGACCACCCCCAACCTCCTGCAGACGTACAGCTCCCCCGACAGGGCAGGAATGAGAGGGACCCAGGACCCAGCCCCAGGGAGCAATGCCCCATCATGGTGGCGAGAGAGCAGGATCCTTTGGTCTTCTCTCCGGGCCCTGGGAGGAGGATTCATCTAGATGTGTGGTTGGAATCTGGACAGTTGAAAATTCATTCCAAACATTCTCTGAAGATAGTTGGCAACATGAAAGCCAGGCATTTTGGGTTTCCCCCATGTGTTCACGTGCCCTGCTGTTCGGCCTGTCTGGGCGCTTCTGCTCTATCACGTGTGCCGCCCCTGGTTTCCCTGACCCGGGCCTCTGGGCTGACACCCCGTGTCTCTCTCCACAGGAGGGAAGGGGGCGGGGGCCGTGCAGTCCCTCTTCCCCTGGTTCTGCCTCTGCTTCCAGCGTGCCTTCAAGTCCTTCGACGACGTCTGGAGGCTCTGGGAGGTGAGTCCTCCTTGGACGGAAGGGTTAGGCCCCCACCCCTCCAGCAGGCAGGGGGGAAGCCCGTTTCCTTGCTTCCTGACTTGGGATGGAGTTGAGCAGGTTGGGGTTTATGGGGCCTTGTTGGAGGAGGTGAGCACATCAGCATGTCCTTCCGTTCATTCAGTCCCACCAGGACCTTCTGCAGGGCAGCAAGGGCAGGAGGAGGGGCCCCTCAGCCTGTGCGGGTAAAGCCTGACCTGCTTTCCTGCCCCCCCTCCCCGCCCATGCAGGCCTCCCTCTGCGCCTCCCCAGCTGCCCCCTCCTCTGCCTTCCCCTCCATTTGAGCGCTGGCTCCCTTCGGGGCCCTCACTCATGGAGAAGGAGGGGCCCTCCAAGGGCAGGTCAAAGGTGCAGTTCTTTGATCCCAGACCCTTGGGCCACCAGCCCATGAACCTCCCCAGGAACAGACCCACTACCCACTTCTGCTCTGCCCAGCCCAAGACTCAGCCCGGCATTCAGCGACCCACAAGTCAACTCCCATTCACCTTAACCCTCCCTCATGGCCTGCTGGTTTCTGTGCCCAAGTCCATGGCCACCCCCAGACCTCTGGGGACACCCCTGGATTGTTGACTTATCAACCGTTGCTTTGCCAAAGCTCCACTCAAATGCTTTGGATAGCCACCGGGTCATTCTCCCTCCTTCTCCCTCCCCTTCCTCCCTCCCTCTCCCTCTCTCTTTCCCTCCTTCCCTCTCTCCTCCTCTCCTCCTCTACCTAATGAATTCCCTGAAGCTTTTTCTCTGAGTCCCCCAGTAGCCAGCACAATACCTGGGATCCCCTGAGGTAGCACTTGCCTGAGTGAGTGAAGGAGTCAGCAGTGAGGCCCAGGGACAGCTGACCCCGGGTGGGCCTGTGGTCAGTGAGCACCTCACCATCCGAAGAGCTAGGAGGCCCCAGCTGAGACTCAGGGGCTGCCTGCAGGTTCTGCTGACCGGGAAACCCTGCAGAAACTTCCAGGTGCTGGTGGCCTACAGCATGCTGCAGATGGTGCGCGAGCAGGTGCTGCAGGAGAGCATGACCAGTGATGGCATCCTCCTGGTGAGAGCACCCTCGAGCCGGGCCAGCCCCCCTCCCGAAACCCCTGCGCCATCCCAGCCCTTAGCCCCTGGCAGGAATTGTGGTGCCCTGAGCACGGTGTTTGTGCTTATATAGACCAACAACACACGGGAGCCCATGACAGGCCAGATGCAGAGGGACCATAACCACCATGGCAGCACCCTGATTTAACATAGGAAGAAACTGAGGCCTTGAATGCCTCTTAACCTCTAGGTTTACTGCCTCACAGTTAAACCCCTGGGCCCCAGGGTCCCCTGTGGCAAAAGACCGAGAGTTTTCTGACATTGCTAAAAAGCAACTGGAGTCTGGGTTTAAAAAAATCTAGGGTGGCAGCCCAATTACAAAACAAGTTCTCCTTAGAAGCTCCTGAGACCCTCAGTGGAATCCTGGTACCCCTCAGAGCCCGGTATGAAAACGGCATTTACCATCTCCCCGCAAATACCACATTCCAGTGGTGAAATCACCGGCACTGTGCCAGGCTGGCTGGGGGGAGATCAGGTGGCCCCGGCGACTGCCATGAGCAGTGGCCTTGTCCCGGGCGAAGCAGCAGGAAGCTGCCTGTGTCCAGGGAGACCTGCTTCCTCCCGGCTTCCTTTCCCGGCACAGGCCTGCAACAACCTCATTGACCTTGACGCGGATGTGCTGATCTCTGCTGCCTGCTTGGTGTATGCTGAGCTCATCCAGAAAGATGTAAGTGACCCTCATTATTTGCCTTCTTCCTCTTCCTCATCCAAGAAGCCCTCTCTGATCTTCCAAGCCCAGCCCCGGCATATGGCAGGCATGTTCGGCTTCAGAGACACAGTTTGTGCCTCCTTCTCTGCCACCAGCCCATGGGTGTTGCTCTGTGTGGTCGCCTCCTGTTTGCATATGCAAATCCCACCTCCCCAGGGAGACGGCGCTGCCCAGCGACTTGGCCCTCACCACTTGTGCCCTGCGTCCATCCCAGTGGGTCGGGCACAGGGCTGGGCACCCTGAGGTTCAGTAGAATGTCACTGGCTGGACAGACTGAAGAATGAGAGCAATAGACCAACATCTGTCCACCTCAAACTGCCGGAACCCTCCTCTTCCCCAGGTTCCTCAGCCATTAAAGGACTTCTTTCTCTGAGGACTCTAGCAATGGACAGATGCCCTCAACGGACAGGACGGAGGTGGGGCTTCAGCCGTGAAGTCCGACGGGACGTTAGGGTGAGGGTGTAGGTAATACAATTACATTGGAAATAGCCTCTGGAGTCACAGTTTGTGGTGGGTAGTGTGTCTCCTGCGGACGCGTGAGGGCCAAGCAGAATGTGCAATACAGACAGAGGCCTGGTGGGCGAGCAGGGAGATGGTGAGGGAGAGGGGGCCAGGCACACCGGGGAGACCACGCCCGTCGGCCACTCCTCCACAGCTAAGGGTTTGCCAAGGCTACGGTGGCTCCACACTCGAAAGCACCTGGGTCAGGATAGAAACAGCTTCGAGAGCCTCCCCGCCTCCAGTGAAGGACAAACTGAACTCGTCTCATAGACCTGCTCCATCCCTGGACCAGGTCTTGAGAAGAGGCCTTGACCACAGGGCTTTGTACACACTCCGCCATTTTCCCCTTACGCCCGACACCGTGATCCCACGTTCAGTGGTCCATCCACAGATTCCCCGGCAGTCTGTGGAAGGACACGGCCCAGGTCTCTGGCTCGCAGGCCATTCCCCTCCTGGTTTCAAAGCTTCACAAGCACACCTCCACATCTCAGCCTGGAATGCCTCCTCGGACTAAACTCTTTTCTTTGGCCTTACTCAGTCTCTCTAGAGAACGCCCCCTGTTCTCTGGCCCAGGCAGTCCAGTTGCTCCCTGGGGCAGAGACTTGTGCAGCCCACTCTTCCCAGACAGTGCCACAGCCCGGAAACCCCTGCCCAGCCTGCTCTCCGCCGAGGGTGCCCTCAGGGCAGGCAGAAGGATGCGCCAGAAGGGGCTGAACCCGCAGAGGCGCTGGGGCTGGCCAGGTGTCCCCATATCTGCTCTGTGTGTATACCTGCATGTCTGTGCACGCATGCGTGCACACACACACACACACACACACACACACACACACACACACCCCTGCCCAGCGGCTACACCTTTTCAGAGGGGCTGACGGATGGGTAGGCAGGATCCACTGGTTTTGCCGTGACCCTGGCCCCCAGGAAGAGGCATAACCTTCTTCTCACTCTTCCTGGGCCGCCCCTTTCTGCTCCCATCCTGTCACTCTCATTATCGTCACTCAAAAAGCACTACATCCCCAATTAGTGTCTGGTCTCCTTCCCCTCAAGAGACAGTCCCCGTCCACGGCTAGCTCTGAGTCTCTTGGCCGCTGCGTGTGTGCTGGAGTAGGGTGTAGCTGAAGAGTGGGGCCCTGGACCCCCACCAGCGTCTCTCCTGCATGGCTAAAGAGCCAGCACTTTCCAGGCAGGAAGGCACGTGGGTAAGTTCATGTATTGCGCTTCTTGGGTTTATGTTTCCAAGACAGTTTATTTAAATAAGTCTTCCTGTGTGGAATACAGTTCTCTAAGATCAAAACCATGTTTTCATTTTACCAAAGAACCAGAGTCAAAGACAACTTGGTGCACCAACTGTGGCCTTGGGAAGAGTCCAGAGAAACATCAGATATGCTTTTCCCAAGGCATCCTTTGGCCTGGTAACATCAGTTGGCCTATGATTGTTGGTTGAGACATATACACCATGCCAGACATCTATTCCAAAACTAAAAAATTCAAGAACTCACTTTCTAGACCAATGGTTTCCAAACCTGTTTGTAAAATCACGTGCTAAAACCACGGTTATACAATCTTTCTCAGGAGCCCAGTGTTTGAAGTTTGGGTGGGGAGCCCAGGGCCTTCCTCCCTGTGATCCCCCTCGACCCCTCCTCAAACCTCATGTCATTCCCTATGGTACCTCCAAAGAACCTCTGGCCTCCTGGGAGCATGTTTGACACCTCTGTTGGTCTTAAACATGAACTGGATTAAGTCCTGATACTGAATTGATCCAGGTTCAGATAAATGTCAGGCGATGGTAATGATCTTAGAAGAGCAGGCTTCTCTCAGCTCATCTATAGCACCGTTGGCCAGTGGAGTGTGGATTAGGATCTTCACACTGACCTGCTGAGCCCAGGCTTCTCCTCACTTCCTTTATCACTTTATCACCCAGTGTCATGTTGTTCTAGTAAGATCCAGTCCGGAGATAGAACTATGGGAAGCTTTGAAATCCTAGAGCCTAAGTTCCCTTTAGTGTAGAGACCGTGCTGGTCTAAATAATTTGTTACTCCAACACACGTTTATTGAAGCCTTACTGTGAGCTGCCCGTTGTCCATGCACTGAGAATTCAAGAGTGGGGTGATGAGCAACACAATCCCCAATTCTGTGTCATGTAGAGTTGAGTGGGGACCAGATAATCACCTTAAAGAATGTTTAATTGCCAATTTCCTTCTCGTGCCCTGAAGGAAAGGAACATGGTTCTGTGGGAGAAGATAACAATTAGTGGTGGTGGTGGTGATGTCAGTAATGATGGTGGTGATGGCGTGATGGTGGTGGTGTCAGGGGTCATGGTGGTGATGTCAGTAATGGTGGTGGTGATGGCGTGACGGTGGTGGTGTCAGGGGTCATGGTGGTAAGGTCGGTATTATGATGGTGGTGATGTCAGTATTATGATGGTGGTGATGTCAGTAATGATCATGCTGGTGTTGTCAGGGGTCATGGTGGTGACATCAATAATGATGGTGCTGGTGTTGTCAGGGGTCACAGTGGTGATGTCAGTAATGATGGTGGTACTAATGGTGATATTAGCAATGGTTAATGTTGGTGGCAGAGGTGACAGTATAAGCTTTGGTGATGATGATGGGGACATCAGTGAGGTTGGTGGCTGTCAGTGATGTTCTTGGTGCCAATGGTATGGTATGGCTGGTGGCAGAGGTGTGATGTCATTAATGATGGTGGTGACGTCAGGGGTAACACTGGTGGCAGACGTGTAATATCCATCCTGGCAGTGGTAGAGATGTCACTGTCAGTGGTGGTGGCAATGGTGTGGACTTTCGTTCCATCAGCAAAAATTTACTGAGTGTCTCCAGTGGCCATCTCAGTGTTGATGCTGATGGTGGTCCTGGTGGTGATGGCAGTCATTCATGGTGGAGATGAAAACAGTGATAAATTTATTCTGGAAAAACTAATGCCTAACACACTTCCAATTAGAAAGACCTAAATATAATATTTTTAAATAAGTCATAGTGGCCATGAGCATCGGAATAAAGAAAATCGAAGCCCCTGGGCCCCATCCAAGCTCTCCAACATCGGTCCTGAGTTTGATATGAAAGCCTGGACCAGCTGTGTTTCTTCCATGACCTCACCAGCTCCCCCTCCTTCATTCCTGTTCTAAGCCTCTTTCCCAGAGGTGGTTCCTTCTCCCCCCCCTCTGGCTACCTTCAGTGACCCCAAGCCCACTCCTTATTCCTGGAGCCAGGATAATGGCTCTCTACTCACTAAGAGCTTTGCAGAGGCAGCATATGTAAAGATCTGAGTTCTCTGGGCCCCAGAGCCTGTGTGTCAGACTCAAAAACCCAGGCTGGCCAGCAGAGCCTAGGCCCGGGCTGTAGCTCCAGACCTTTGTCCAGTGAGGGGGAAGGGCTCCTCCCTACCTGCTAGGAAGACCCCAGCTAGGGGAGGGGACCTCCACAGCGCGGGACCCAACCTCACTGACCAGACTGGAGGCTGGAGCACTGGCCTCTGAAGAGGACAAGACAGGAAGGAAGAGCGAGAAAGAAGTGAAAGAAGGAGATAGTGACATAGGAGGGAACGTGAGGTTTCTTCCTCGGCTATCTAAAGGGGGTCACTCATGTCAAGGACCATCCACAGAGCCAGCGGTGTGGGTCGAACCTGGCAAAGTGACAAACTGATCCTCAAGGCTGCCCCTTCTCCCTGACTCTCTCACCAACCCCTCCACGCCCCCCCCACCTCAATTCATCATCAAGCCCTGCCAGTTCTCCCCCTGCATGGACCAGCCGCTCAGTTCTGCAGCTGCTGGGGGAGGGTACATGGCTTGTCCTGCCCTCTGACCCTCTTCCCTTGGGGTGGAAGCAGGCCCGGGTCTGCAAGTCCAGAGCTCCTCAGCGCTGGGGTCTGAGCCGGAACCCCATGGAGAGGCCTCTGAGAAGCCCAGCCCCAGACTCTGGAGCTGCAGCCCCCACCCTGAAGGACAAGGCAGCAAGTCTTCCCCAATCCCACCTTCCCACAGACCTCTGAGGAACCTGAAGCCCAGAGGGAGGGGACTGTGACAATGCGGAGAGGCCCGGAGCTCCAAGAGGTCAGGACCAGGGCAGGCACTGTGGCCCGGACCCTCTCGGTCCTCACAGCTGCCCTTGCTGAGTGAGCGCTGTGCCCCAAGCCTGTGCTAAGCACTTCATAGGCTGCCCGTCCCCGAACCTCATTCAGAAGACAGACGCCGCCATTACCCTCTTTCTCCTGCTGAGGAACCAGAGGTGCAGGGCTCACGGCCAGTGATGGCGCTGACAGGCGAACCCCAGAGCCCACACTGTTAATACCATAGTATTGGCTCTGGGGGAGCTCCCTGTGTCCCCCTCCCCGTCCGCTCGCCGCCTCACTCCCGTGCGCCATCTACCCCACGGCACACACCCGAGTCCCCTGTCTGCTCCTCTGCAGGGAAGAACCCCCACCCCACAGGCCACCCCTGCCCT